AATAAGATCAATTGGTATGAATATTTACTAGCTAATTTTCGGATATATTGCATTACATATAAAATTACAATTACACATTCATGTTTTGAATTTTTGTTTAGTATACAATCCTTATTTTCTATGAAATATATTGTACTTACATTTCGTAAATTTGTGCCTTTGTGAAATAAGGTCACCAAAGCACTCACACCTTATATGAAGGATCTTAAGAAAATTGAAGAATAAATCCATTAGGCCTTTACCAACATTAAGCATTGTTAAAAAATAATGTGAATAGCATATCAAAAGAAGTTTAAATCTTACAAATTCAATGAGAAAACTTAACCATTTGATATTCCAAAGATCTAAAAATTTGTAATTTTCAATTTAATATACTCTGATACAAATTGTATAGAATACAACTTATATTATTTAATAATATAATCCTCCTAATTAATTAAGACAACTATGATATACACACAACTATTATAAATACAAATAAGCTTTGCCTATACAACCACACAACTTCAATTCCTACATGTCTATAGGCCACTCCTTTCAAAGACATCGATTAAATCTTCAAAAAAAATGACAACTCAAAATTATTATATAATTATAATCAAAAGTTAAATCCAATACATTTCTTTGAAATTGTGGTTTTTTATATCATCACATCATTATTTAAATATAATAATTATCAAGCATCTTATCTCATCAATAAAAAAAAATAGTGATTATGATGATAGTATTTAAAAACTTTTAGTGTAATTCTTTATTCAAACATTCCATGCAACCAATCCACTATTTCAAAATCAACTTATCTTAGCATTCCATATTCATATCCTATTGCATCTTTGTCTTCTTCCACATTCCAATTATATATTATCTTACAATCTTATCTAATATTCAATTCTACATAATTATTTTTTATATTACAATTGCATCTTATTCTTATGCTTTCTAATTTATATTTAAAATCCAAAAATGATACAATTTAAAGAACCACACATATATTGATAGCATTGTCATGTTATAATACAAGAAAATGATAATAATTTAATCAAAAATGAATTTATAAATAATATCTAATCATCTTGGTACAATAATAATTTAAGATATTTAAATGTGGCTTTTCTAAAAGCTATATTTTTCTTGTCTTAAAAGCTAGTAGATTTATTTTCTTGTCTTGATAGCTATTAAGACAAGGAAATAAACTATTTTAAACAATTCATATATCACTACATCATTATTTAAATATAAAATATTTTTCTTATCTTAATAGCTAGTAGATTAAAAATTGGTTGGTAATTTTATCTTTTAGGCTATAGAAAGTTATTAAAAGTTGTCAAGAGGATATTAAAAGTTGGCAATTTGGAGTTAGATAGGATTTCTACAATATTTGGAGATCTACTAGTTAGATCAAGGTGAAAATTGGCATAGTAGTAGAAGACTTCAAAATCAAGCTAAATACTGATTTTGAGTTAAAGTTAATGGTTGGAAGAGAAGAAATCACTACTAGAATATCTACAATAATTTTTAAGTTGGCCGCCAAGTGACATTAGTGTGGTATCATATTGCATGAAGCCTTGCTTGAGAATGCACCAAGTACCTGACTATAGAAGGTAGAAGGAATATTATAACAATAAGATTATAATTTTAATATAATCTTAAATAATTCTAATTAAATCTTAACAATGCTAATCAAGATTTAATCAATCTAAAGAAAATTCAAAGAAATTATGAAAAAAATATGAAAAAATCTTAATGAAATTCAAATGAAGTATTAAAATAAAATCCAAAATATATCTTAAATAAATTTCAACCAAATCTTACTTTAATTCTAGTTAAGATTCTAATAGTCTTTACTTAAATCCTAAGTCAAATCCTAACTAAATCCTAAACAAATACTATATCGTAACCAATTCCTAAATCCTAAACTAAATCCTAATCAAATTAACCTAATCCTAGGGAAATTTAGAACTTCAATATCTATCAATTATACCATTGATCTTGCTTAAGATTTTACACGCCTTTCAACAACTAAGTTGGTAAGAAGCACTTAAAATTTGAAGAAAATCAAACTTATTGAACAAAAGATTAATCCTAAATTCCACTCGAGTTTTGGCCGACCTCCTATTTCAATCTAAATGTTGAACTTCTAGTGCAAATATCTTCTTTCTAAACTATTGGATTGCATCCAAAATACATTCAAATTATGTAAAATCAAGTCTAATCTGTACACAAAAAAATTCACTTCGATCCAATTAATAAATTACTAAAGATCTTAAAAATACTTACTAACCCTCAAATTCCAATTTCTGAGACCTCAATCAACAAAAACCTTTACACGCTTTGATCTAACTATTTGAATGACCTCAAAATCTTCATACATACTAATAACTAGAATACCAACACACTGTCCAAAATTCACTTGTGTACACACTACAAAACTCAAGAAACCCACAATTTTGTAAATATAATTTTATTTTTCAAAATCTAATCCAACCAAGAACATTACTAACTTTGAAAATCTCTAAAAAATTGAATATTAACTTGATTGATAAAAAAAATAATGCTCAAAAATCTTTTTGCTAGCCTACTATAAAATCTTGTTCTTTAATCTCCCTTAGAACCTCTAAGTTGCTATAGGTATACAGATTTGTGCCTAGGGATCTCATTTCAATCTAGGTTAACAACTAGTCTTTTCTAGGTATCAATATATGGTAATTTGAGGTAATTTTTGCTTGAATCTATTGATAACTTTTTTCTAAATATCTCTATATTAATTATTTATCTTATTTACTTTTATTTGAGGTATTTATATTCTTACAAAATAAATAGAAGCTTCTTCTTTAAAAGACAACATTAAGACTAAATCTTTTATTACCTTCCTATCATTTATTTTTATTTTTTTACTATATCTTTTTAATTGGTTCTTCTATATCAATATCCATATTTTCATTTTTCACCATATAGTCATGTTATTAAATGACAATGGTTTTTGGCTTTTTTCCATAATTTCTAAATTGGATTGAGTTAATTTTTTTTTGAGCATATACAAGACTTATAGTGGTATTTTTGTGTAAGATTTTGTATCAAGTGGATAGTCACATTAGGAGTTACAGTTCACCAAAGCTCTTTGACTATAATTAAGGCTTACAAAAAAAAATCAAAATTACCTAATTATAAAAGTAATAAGGCAATTGGATTTTATCTATAATTCAGATTTCTAAGAAGAGTGTTTTTGAGCACTTTGTATTGGCTTTAAGTACTTTTGAATTAAAATTTGAATTGCATTTTTCTTATATGGATAGAAGCTATTAGGATTTCTTGGATATTTGTAAAGTACAACTTTACCTTCTCTAATGAGATGCCTAGTACATTTTCAAACAAGAAAATATGTAATACAATAGCGTAGGCTTAGAAAATTATTATTGATATCTATTGTCCTATATGAATAAGAATTGATGCAAAGAATATGTATAGAATATGATTTTTTGCAATTCAAGTAAGGAGCAATATATAAACACAATAAAAGGTGACAACATCCCATAGAATATTAAATATCTTTTTATCATGTTTAGGTTTATATTCGTAGAAATAACAAGGTATGGACTCAAATACAAATGTACACATTATAACCTCAAGAACCTTGCTTACATCAAGATTAATATAGTCAAACAATATAACACAAATATTATCAAGATCTTCTATAATTTCAACAAATATATACATGTTTATGGTGTGCTTGCCTCTATATTCTTTTGCAAATAGGTCAATATGATGTTAGAGGTTACAACGGATATTTATCTTTTGACAATTGATGACAATAAAATAAATTGAAAGAAGACTATTCATAATACCTTCATATAAAAATTATAGTACCTCCAATAAGATCCACATCTGTCTATTTCTCATGGAATATATCAATGAATGTTAGCAATAGTTTGTAATGTTCTGACATCCACCATATTGATTATCAATAAAAAAAAAAAAAATCTATATAAAAATTAAGAATGATGCTTAATTTAAGCGACAATATAAGAAACATGACAATGAACCTAAGTAAAAGAAATCACATGCTAACATTGATGTCAACACAATTTTTCTTGACTTAATGCTACAAAATGAATTATAAAGCATTAATCCGTTATATATAGTTGTAATATAAAATCCGAGGATAAAAAATCCACAAGTTAATAATGCTAGATAAAGCACAAAAAGCAAGATTACAATGTTGTAAAAACCATACCTAGGCTATAATCTAAGAATATTTTGAACTTAATATGGTGTTACAAAAGCAACTCAAATAAGTGCAACATGAATCAATCCATCTACAAAATGCCTACTAGTGAATCATGGAATTGACTAACTAATATGTTTTTGTACAAAAAATGTACTTATGGTGCTTTAAGTCATTATTTTAATGAATTAATATAGGAGTTTTGAGATAAATAGTAAAATAATAGAATGGTAGTTATAAGAAGAGGCTCTAGTAGAATTTATGAGAAGAATTTCCAAAACAAATATTTTTTCTATAAACTAGCTAAATTATGTTTTTTAAATAGTAGTTTATTATTATAAATTTTTTAATTAGAGTATAAGCTAAGGGAGATCTTTGATCCAAGTCAATCCAAAAGAAAAAGAACAAAAAGAAAATAAAATAAAATAAATAAAGAGAAAAAGAGGAGAAGAAGAATAGAAGGGAAACAATAGAATAGAAGAAAAAGTAGTGAGAATAAGAAAACAAAAACAGAAAAGAATAGTAGAAGAAAAAGAAATCAAAAGAAAGAAGAAAAAACAAGAAAAATCAAACGGAAAAATAGAAAGAGGAGAGAAAGAAAAAATAAATAAATAAATAAATAAATAAATGGAGCAGGATGAAGAGGAAAGGCAAGAGGCTGCCCCCGAATTTTCGCAGCCTCTTCGCCGATAGTGGTCTGGGTCGCCCCAGATCCTCTCTCTTGGTTTTTTTTTTTTTTTTTTTTTTTTTTTTTTTACTCTTCACGTTTTCACGAGCTCCGGGCGCTTCGGAAGGTTTTTTTTTTTCTGTCTCCTTTGCATTTTGCAATGTGGAAGTGCTGCAGCATCGCACTTCTTACTTTTTTGTTTTTTTGTGTGATTTTGGAGCTTTTAAATTTGCAGAAGGGCATGGGGTTTTCTTCTAGATTTTTCTCTGCTTAGGGTGTGTTTTTCAATTTTTCCCATAACAGCTTGGTGGATTGAGGAGGGACTGTCAAAGGTGGCTACATTTCCTCTTGTTTCCCTTTTACTTGCGATGGCCAGTCTTTCTGCGGCTGGTTGCTCTTCTTGTTGCAACCTCATTTGCAGTTGGCGGTTATAGTGCATGGTTTCAGATCCTTACGGCAATGCGGTGGTAGTCGATCACTTCACGATTATGATATTGTTCGACGTCTGCAGTCGGAGTTAGCGTGGCAAGCTATTGAAATCTACTCAAGTTATGAATGCAGACTGGCCTGGTTAGTGGAGCTCAAGACCGACGGCAACTTGGTACTAATCATACAAACAAGGCTAGCTGCTAGTTAGTTGCGGCGACTTGTGACATTATCCAGGATTTATTTGTATTCTAGTGGAATAGCTTTTTTCCTCAAATTTCTAAAGGATTGTTGAAATGTCGTACCTGCAGTATCACTTCTATCCACCTGAATTCAATCCAGAATTTGTTGAGGCGATTTTTTGGCTTGGAGGCGTTGACTCATCGCTTTCGATCAATTGCGAGCATTGAAATTCGGCTTGAAGTTACTGGACAGAGCTAAACTAAGTCAATAGCAGTGGATTCTGGGAGGATATGGTGTTATTAGTGGTGCGGTGTCATCGCTTGTATTGGGGCAAATCCCTGTGCCTTGTGTGCTGAGCAGTTGCTCAATTGATTCTTCTCTTATTTTTTGCACGTTGCTGCTATCAATGCCTCTTTCACTAAATGTCATTGATGTTGGCTGGTAGCCGACTCTTCTTGGCTGTGTTTATTCTATCGCTCTCTTTTCTCAATCTATTTTCTTGATTCTCGAGCTAAAAAATCTCATGTGTGCTTCGGATAGTACCATTGCTTTGTTTGTGTATTGGTTCCCTTTGATGCCCAAACTTGATTTTGTTTCTAGTTGGCGGCTCGGTGAGCTACAACGGTGCTACGGCTGGTTAGTGTTTATGGCAAGTTACGTTTTCAGTTCTTGTTCATCAAGGTGCTGTAGTGTAGCCACGTTTTGCCTCTCACAGCATCTTATTCTTGTTTTTCTCCTTGGTTGTGATCTACGATGGTTATTTCCACCTTCATTTGTTATTGTGGGGGCTGGTTACATTGTGGATGCTGTAAAAGATTCGTATTGAGGAGTTGATTTAGGCAGTTGATGCTAAACATTAGGCTCGTGTATTGATTTTTATTATACTTGGATAAATCAAGTTTCAGCTTTGGAAAGAAAAAAAATCAAGTTCCAGCTCGGAATGATTTGCAGGGGGCGTTGCCTAGCCGAAGCCTAAGACTTAGTGCACCAAAGGAAGCTAGTGTTAGTTGTAGGTGCCAGCGTAGGAAGTCGTGGAAAATCCACGAGGTATTGATTTTTTTCCATTTTGAATTCAATACACTAAAGCTTAGAAGCCCTCATTGTATTGTTGGCACTAGTTTTTTATCATCTTTGGGCTGGATAAGCATGGAAGACGGTGGAGCTAGGCAGTAGAGCCGCAGCTTCCAGCAGTGTCAACAAAACTTGGCACAAGGTGCTGGCTTGAAGATAAGGTTGGACAGCACTGTTAAAAGAGGAGTCCTAGCCGGATTGCAATCACGGATCCGAGTAGCTTCGAAGTCTCTTCTTCTTTGGAATGAACTAGAAGGTGTCGAATTTGCTTAAGATGATGTTAGGTTAGGATTCAAGTAAATTATGATTTGGATGGAAATGTTAGATTTGGATGAAAAATAATCAAAGAAGAATTTTAAACATAAATGAAGTATGTAGATGAAATGTTATTTAAGGATGAATTTTAATTAAAATAGAAATTAAAATAATTTAATATATATATATATATATATATATATATATAATATAATCATATTAATAAGGATTTTTTTTTATTGCATGGAATTTTTCAAGTGACTTATTAATTGGAAGTGTAAGTTGGTAATAGTCTTAACTTTATTGCTTGGATTATTTAAGAAGAATAATGAATGAATTGATTAGGATTTAATTAATAGTTATAACTTCTCAAAAATTCACATAGTTAATTCACTTGTTATGAACTAGAATATACTTCCAACTAATAGAGGTTTACTTTAGCTTTTACCTCTAAACATCTATGAGCATCCAAGACTTAGAGAGGAAATTAGAGCCTAAAGATTTAGGTCCTATAATTTTTTTATGAAGCCTTGAGAGGAAATTAGAGCCTAAAGATTAAAATCTTAACTAGTAGGAGGCTTATTAAGAGGGATGAAAGTAAGGCATGGTCGGATGAAGGTAAAGAATAGAGATCTTCATTCTTGTTGGTCGAAGGCCATACCCAATAGGCCTCTAGGAGGCTGTTTGAGGCCTTATTAAGGATTAAGGTTTCTCTTTTAAGGTCACTTGAGCATTCGAGGCTAGAGTCAACAAGTTTAGGTTTTTGGATATAGATTGGATACAAATTTTGTATGATTTGGAGTTTTTATGAAGGAATTATTGGCACTGAAAGTTAAGGTGTCAATTTTGTATCTACTGTCACTCTCTAGGGCATAACATACGTTTACAAAGAGCAACAAAGGATCAGCAACTAGGGTTGGAGAGAGCACTTTTTTTTCTACACTTTTCATATACTATTTGATGAATTTAGAATTGAGATAAAGAAGTTATAGAGAGTTGAAGTCAGTGCATCCAAATCAAAGGCAATAACTAAGTGATTTTATTCATAGTAATGGTTGAAGACATATCTTGAGTTCTTAGACGAATTTTTAGCTCAAAATTTTAAGAAAAGATAGATTATTATATTAAGAAGTTATATATATAAATTTTGTGGTATTTGAGTGCTTAATTTGTGAGATATGAAGAAAATTACACACATGTGTATAAAAACTAGGATTTGAAGCTACTATTAGGATTTTGGTGATATCTTAAGATCCGCAACAAATTTGGAGTTGAAATTTGTTGTAGTAGTTGTTAGAAGTATATCAGTATTTCATGTAAAATTTACGTATGTTTGAACGGTCCAATTGGATTATGAATTATTGAAGTTCAAAAATAATATCCCTTAAGGATATATAAGGATTTAGAGTTTTATCATATTTTGGATGTTTTTGAAAACTTAAGACATATATTTGGTGTAATTGCTCCTAAAAGAAACTTGGTCTTTTTTATCTCAAGACCTGATTGAAAAATTAGTTGCAGCTAGGAGCCCAGTGCTTTCTTGAGGCAAATTCTCTCTACCCTGACAACGTGTCTAATTTTGAATTTGATGTACAAAAAACTCATGGCACCTTTTGATCAACATCAATAGCATAGCACAAGTAAAAACTTAGGGCTTAAGTAACTCACTATAGACTCAATAATGAAGATGTATAGATTACCAACTTGCCAAGGATATATTAGAGGCAACAAACATAATCTTAAAATATTTTGTAAAACATCGATATCTTAAAAAATGATGTGATACAAAAAAAATATAAATGATTTTTTATTTTATAAGAATTTAATAAATAAATAAATTTTTGATATTTATTCACATACATTGAAGATCCGAAACAAACACCATCATATGCATCAGGGATTTGCTACTGCAATATAAAATTTATACAATGGAAAAAAATCACCTTGCAATTTTTGATTTCATTCTTCTAAAATAATACCTAAAAATTTCTTCTCTTATAAATATCTTATAGATATGATGTAAGATACTTTAGAAGATTAAATATTACATGCCTAAGGTGATCACACCTACTTACAAATATATTACTTGTTTAAGAAGTTTATACTCCCTTGCACATCATACTTACTGAAATAGTCCAACAGTATGGTATTAGAAAAATAATAAATAAAGAAATAAGATTTTATCATGGTGTTGCTAGAATTAATAAGGATGAAACAAAGAAGAAGAATATTTAAAATTTGGGAGAAATACAATGGAGTAATTAAAAATTAATATAATATTAAATTAGTCTCAAGTAGTAGCATCATGAAGTAGAATAGTACAAAACCAAAGGCTATGTAATTCTAATTGAGTTAATATATATATATATATATATTAGTATCTCTACTATGTCTAATTCTATAGGATATTATCTCGTGCATATTCATAATCCTAAAAGGCCAAATAACAACTGCTCAACTCTATCCATTTAGATACAAGTATAATAATTTGACTAAATGTTATTCATCTAATAAAAAAGTACAATCTTACTTGAGAATATTTGAATAATATAAAGTATAATTATAGCAATAATGTAGATTTATATTCATTGTACTTTACCAACTATATTAAATTAATTACTTATGATGAAGGTGATTCATGTGCTAAATAGTATTACAATACTTCATAAGACTCCTATTCCTAAATATAATACAAGAAGCTAGAGTTAACAGATTTCATCTCATGAGGCTATGTTACAATATCGAATTATATGCCTCCAATATTCAAAATTTATGCCTTTTTGGCATATGAAATCTAAGCAATTCATAGCTATTTTTTTTTACAGCCACCTCTAGTACAAATATACATGTTTATTATCTAGATGACCAAAAAATAGAATATAGAAGTTGTAGTGAAGGAAAAAAAAGCCACTGTTATCTATCTGCCATTAAAAATAATACTTGGATTTTGCTTTGAAGTACAAGAAATAGACTACGGAGAATTGGAAGAAGATTATTTGGTTAGATGGGATAAAAATCAACAAATTTAGTTCAGATGGTAGAAAGTGGGTATGGAAACAAAAGAATCAATTCTCACTTGACAAGAAGATCTAAGAAATAGCTAAGCATGGGAGGTAGAAATATAATGATATGGAATTTTATAGAATTAGAAAGATGGCACAGGTTGAGGGAAAGATGAATGCCAAGTAATTTGTAGAAATTCTTGAAAAAACATGTTCCCTAGCCTTGAAGAATCTAGCAATTTTGAAGAAGAGGTAATTTTTTAGTAAGAAAACAATCTCAAGCATAATTAAAAATTAACATGGAAGTCGTTTGATTATCATGGAATTAAAATAATAGATTGGTATGTTATCAAGGACATGAATTGAAAGAAGGTGCATAAACCTGAGAAATTTGTGTCAAAAAAAAATAACAAAATAGAAATAAAGAAGTACCTTTGAAACGAACAAAGATCAAAGTACATGAAAAATACAATTTGCCACATCTTAGACTTCCTCAACATATGATTACTACTCCTTGTGGAACTTGTTCCTAGAGAGGGGTATAATGTTACAAATATATATCTACTATAGTTATTATCTAAGAAATATAAATATGTAGAATTAGATAAAAGTAGATTAATTTCATATTACCTTCTAGAAAAGCTTCCTAAAACCTCCTAGACTTTGTTTTGACTTTATATATATATATATATATATATATATATATATATATATATGTGTATTTGTAGTTGATTAATAGATTAAAATAGATCCTCTCAATCATTAATAATGTCCTAGTTTATAGTGGAAAGACCATCATATGTTTTGATCATTGTTGAAACTTTCATAATTTCTTTCAAACAAAACATTTGTAACACCATCAAAAATTGTACCTTCCTCCAATAAAATCACCAAACATTGAGAGATTTTTTTCAGGTTATGATATCAAATTTGTTGTATCTTGCTATCTAATCAAAGAAGAACATATTATTTTTGAAGTTCTTCATGTCTAGTACATTATCTTAAAGGTTGTAATAATTACAATTTCTTGTTTGGTAAGTCAGCAAATGATAGCTCTTAAGTTGAATTTGTCAACTGTTGGTTCTTGATTTCTTTAATGCCACAATTACAAAAAAATTACAAATAAGAATAGAAGGTGGAATG